GGCAGAAGGGGGTGGCACCAGGGCAAGCACCAAGACATGGTCCATTTCTTCATTCTTCACAAAGGGTGAGCCCTCCCCAGCATGCACCCAAGGGGCAGGGCTGACACAGCAGGGGCCGGTTCCTCGCTGTTTCCGGACGGCCTTGTGGAGCTAAAACTGAATGCGTTTCAGCATAGATGGCCACCACAAAATTGTACATTGGTTCCCAGCTGGCCTGGGCCAGGGCCAAGGCAGCGGGGGCCGTTCCCTCACTGTTTCTAGGATGGCTTCGCGGGCCGCGTGAAACCACTTCGCAGGCCGCATCCGGCCCCGGGGCCTTGTGTTTGACATGTCTGCTTTAGAGCCAAAGATTCTAGAAGCAACTCTGGAACCAGACGACCGAGGACAACTTATTTCAAAACACCGTGAATTTATTTGTTCTGTAGATAATTCAATGTCTCTTAGCCTCAGCAATGTGCTAATGCAATTCATTGCATAAATGTTTTGCATTCCGTTAGGGAATAGCCTTCATATATCATTGCCAATTAAGTACTTCTTGTTGTAGACATTGTAAGAGAGGAGCTGAGTTAGCCCATAGCGGCACACAACCAGGAGTCTAGCAGCATCTTTTCCATGTTAAAAGCTTAGGCCTTATAATAAAATACGATAGTCGCAAAAGGTGCTGCCACATCCTGATGAATAACTAATGAACTGTAAGCTCAGTAATATTTGAAACAAATATCATCATTGTGCCATTACTAGGTCCCTGAATAAAAAACATCTAGATAAGCTGCTTCTCCTAATAATTTTTTGTGGCTGTTTTCACATCTTTTAATATTTCATTCCTAATAATACTAATACTAATAAAGTTGGAAGGGACCTTGAAGGTCATCTAGTCCAACCCCCTGCTCAGGCAGGAAACCCTGTACCATTTCGGACAAATGGCTGTCCAGTCTCTTCTTAAAAACCTCCAGTGTTGGAGCATTCACCGCTTCCAAATTGCCCTTTTTGGCCTATCCGTTTTACCAGATCCCTGCTTTCATTCTTCAGGATCAAAATCTATGTCCTGTCATTTCCACAGCAAGAACTTTCACTCCTTACTTGAAAAATGATTTTTTTTTTAAAAAAGAAGAAAGAATCTGACTTTCTAAATCTGTTCACTCCAAATCCTGTGGAAGGGATACACTAACTCAGACATGTCAAACACAAGGCCCGGGGACCGGATGCGGCCCGTGAAGTGGTTTCATGTGGCCCGTGAAGCCATCCTGGAAACAGTGAGGGAACGGCCCCCGCTGCCTTGGCCCTGGCCCAGGCCGGCCGGGACCCAATGTACAATTTTGTGGTGGCCATCTATGCTGAAACGCATTCAGTCTTAGCTCCACAAGGCCGTCTGGAAACAGCGAGGAACCAGCCCCTGCCATGTTCGGCCTCGCCCCCTGGGTGCATGCTGGGGAGGGGTCACCCTTTGTGAGGAATGAAGAAATGAACCATCGCCTGGAAGTGGCCAGCAAATGGCCCTCGCCTGCTTCACCTATCCGGCTTGATGGGCTCTGCCCTGGTCCCCCCCCCTTCTGCCAGAGACCCTCAGATCTGTCCCACTCCTGCCCAGGCCCCCACACGCACTCTTGACGCGAAGGATGTAGAGCTGGCGTTGCCCACCCAGTAGGCCACACCCACCCAGTGGGCCGCACCCACCCTGGCCACACACCCCCGCCCCCCCGAGGGCAACCGCAATGGTGATGCGGCCCTCAATGCAATTGAGTTTGACACCCATGCACTAATTGATGGCCCCCTTTTTTGTACAATAACCTGCTTGTCTTCAATGGGCTATTCCCCCCCCCCATTTCAAACTTAAGTGACCATTTGGGAAAATTATTTGACATACAGAAGGGAAACTCTTCCAGCAACTGCTGGGTATGCCCTGTTTATAATGAAATCAAGGTTTACATTCAAGGACCTTTTTTCTCCGACCTATCTTGTGTACCAGAGCTGGGTTTTTTTTTTTCAAGGTAGGAAGTAGGAGGAGAGGGGTTTCACCTGTCACCTGTCCCTTTTTATTGTAACAGTCTAGCTCAGTGGTTCTCAACCTTTTTAATGCCGCGACCCCCAACCAGTCGTAAGTCGTGGACTACTCAACCGGTCGTAAGTCGAGGACTACTCAACTGGTGCAGCACTGTTTGCAGAATGGGACTTTTGGCGGGCTCAGCAGGGCAGAAACAGCCTGGACAATTCCTATTGGCTTTTGAAAGCCAATAGAATTAGACTCTATTCAAGAGAGTCTATTCTATTGGCTTTCAAAAACCAATAGAATAAAAGGGAGTAGCACAGCTAAGGGGGAAAAAATGGCGGACTGCGTTTTTTGGCGACCCCCGTAAAATGGTCGTTCGACCCCAAATGAGGTCCCGACCCACAGGTTGAGAACCACTGGTCTAGCTTCAAGCGATTGCCAGAAAGCAAGATGCTTATCAGAAACCACATCTACAATACACATTATTTCTAAGGTTAGGAATCATCCGGAGGTAAAAAAAAAAAAAAAAAAAAACATCTGCTTGGAATTGTAGCGTATAATTTCCCAATCATAACAGCCACCAGCTCTTTTCTTGCCAAAATCAGGCAAGTATAAGCCATCCTGATTGCGGTAATAGTTAAGAAAATTGCAGTGAAAAACCCAAGAGCTTATCATCATAGAATTTCCTTCTATTGCTTCATCCCGACCACTGAAAATACTCATTTGAGGACATGGAAATTGCTACCACGCTGGCATTAAAGAAGACTAACGTCGCTGTTGTTCTCATCCACATTTAAATTGCTGACAATCTCTATCACTGATAAGCTTTGTTTTCTTCTCAATTTCCTTCTGCCAAGATGTACCGGATGGAGAAGGAGGGAGACTGAGACAAGAGGAACAGGATGCAAATGTGCTAGATTTATCGGACAATTAACAGAATAGCAGAGTTGGAAGGGACCTATCTTTTAGTCCAAGCCTTGCTCAAGCAAGAGACCCTATACCAGGGGTAGGCAACCATGGCTCTTTTATGACTCGTGGACTTCAACTCCCAGAATTCCTGAGCCAGCATGGCTCAGCTTGGAAACCTCTCCCTTTCCCCTCAGCGTGGCTGGCTCAGGAATTCTGGGAGCTGAAGTCCACCAGTCATAAAAGAGCCAAGGTTGCCTACCCCGGGCCTATACCATTTAAGATGAATGGCTGTCCAATATTTTCTTAAAAGTTGGAGCGTTCACAACTTCTGGAGGCAGGTTGTTCCACTGGCTAATTGCTCTTACTATTAGGAAAGTTCTCCTTAGTTGTAGATGGTTCTTGCCTTGATTGGTTTCCCTCCGTTGCTTCTTGTCGTGCCTTCAGGTGCTTTTGGGAATAGCTTGACCCTCCTCTCTTCTTTGTGGCAGCCCCTCAGATATTGGAAGACTGCTACCATGTCCTCCCTAGTCCTTCTCTTCATTAAACTAGACCAGGGGTAGGCAACCTTGGCTCTTTTATGACTCCGCTTTCGGAAGGGAAGGTGTGAAGAGCCGACAAAACATCGCTGCAACCCTGAGACAGCCTGGCGTTATCTGCTCTTTCCCACAACAGACTTAACGCCTGGGGATTGGCTCATTTGAACTGACCAGATGAACTTTGGGGTGGGGTTTGCTTGGGACACTTTTAACCTATTGATCTGAGCGGCAACCCCTCAGATCCTGTCTATTGTGCCTGCTATCAGCTTCTCCTAATAAAAGTTCCTTTTGGAAAAAAACTCACAGTCACAGTCAGACAAGGAGGCCGGCCCATGTATTCACGCTCGGGCAGAGACACAGCAGTTTTGGGAGCCTGAGTTGGGGGAGGATGAGGAACAGCTGGGGCCAATCCCGGATGCTCGGATGCGCAGAGAGGAGAGGCGAACAAGACAGAGGAAGGCAGTGGGGTGGGTCGAGAGGCAAAAGAAAAGCCATTAAGAAGCCACGTCCCAGCTGGATTATAAGGGGAGGAGGTGTGGGAAGTGCTGATTGCTGAAAGCAACCGTTCACACTGCGGATTCATGTTTTTGTGGATTGTGTTGCTTGCCTCCGAAGTCTTGGACATTGAGTCAGGTGTGTAAAAATAAAAGGGGGTTGTTTTTCTTGCAGGTCCTGCCTGGTTCCACGAAGAGGGGTTCCTTCTTGTGGGTAAAGCAGTTAAGCAAGTACTTGCGTAGGCTGGGACGGAACATTCATAAAGAGAGTCATAAAATTGAGCCAGGCCATGTGGCAATTCACACAACGACTGCAATGACTTACATGGCCGAAATGTCAGGCTCAATTGGGGTTGCTAAGTGAGGACTGCCTATGACTGCCTTGAGGTTGCCTTCTCCCAAGAAGTTTGGCTAATGCCTGGTCGAGCTGAGGAGTCAGGGGAAGTCACTCATCCAAACGCAAATCAAACCTGGCCCTGCTGAGCACCCGAGTTCAGATAATTCACCCAGATGATAATTCAAAGCACGGTCTAGCTTAGCCAGATGTGGACTTTCCTCCACATTTTATCCCAAAGATGCTTTTTTTTCCAGGAGGCAACTGGACGTTCTCGTTTTTCCTTTGAAGGCATTTCACCTCTCATCCAAGAAGCTTCTTCAACTCTGATTGGACAGTGGGGAACGGAAGGATTTATACTCCTTGCAGACAGCTGGTCATTTGCCTTCTTTTAGAGGACACAGGTAACCTCCAAATGGCCTCAACAACTCGCTAAAAATGCAAATGACCAGCTGTCTGCAAGGAGTATAAATCCTTCCAGTCAAAGCTGAAGAAGCTTCTTGGATGAGAAGCAAAACGTCTTCAAAGAAAAACGAGAAAGTCCAGTTTCATCGTGAAAAAATCACCTTTGGGACAGCCATAACCTGGATGGCGGAGAATCTCCGTAGACATTTAGCGCTCCACATTTTGCGAACAATACCACGTAGCAGGGCGCCCGTTCTCTCCTGCAACCCACCCAGATGCCTCCATGTGAGGTAACGTGACTCGCTGAAGGGAGAGGGAGGGGGGGGGGGTCTTACAATTTTCAGGTGAGATAAAAGCCTCATGACATCTGCCATGTCAGCCAGGATGAGCAAGCGAGTGACGGCAGAAAGCAGAGCTCGGGCAGCGCGGACCATCGTGCCCCGTTTGACGGAGGAACAAGGATCGTCAGCAAATTCCGAGGAAGCGATTCTCATGGTTTCACCTAGAGGATGGGTCAAAACAGAAGCAGATGGAAACAAGGGGTTAGAAAGACTATCGTCACAAGCAGCCTGGGCTTTCTACTTGACATCAAATGGGGAGCGTGCTCCATTTTATAAAAGTGCTCTTGAATTAAATGCAAACGGGGGCTTCTACAATTGGGTTTTTACGAATCATAAAGAACACTGTTATAGCTGAGGTTTAAAGTTGTGGTGAGATTAAAAGTAGTCACCAACGATGTTCCCAATTCATAGGAAGGACCGATGATTAAGCACATTTTTTTTCCCATGCTCTAGACCAGAGGCTGGGGAACCTCGGCTCTTTTATGACTTCTGGACTTCAACTCCCAGAATTCCTGAGTGGGAAGAAGAGTCTCTGGCAGGGCTCTTCAAACTCAGCCTTTTTATGACTCATGGAATTCAACTCCAATGTACCTAGCTGAGGAATTCTGGGAGTTGAAGTCCACAAGTCATAAAAGGACCGAGTTTGAAGACCCCTGATATAGACTTTTAAAAGGAGTAGACTTCAACTCCCAGAATTCCTCAGCCAGCATGCCCGGCTGAGGAATTCTGGGAGTTGAAGTCCACAAGTCATAAAAGGGCCAAGTTTGAAGACCCCTGATATAGACTTTAAGAGGAGTGGACCAACTCCCAGAATTCCTCAGCCAGCGTGCCTGGCTGAGGAATTCTGGGAGTTGAAGTCCATGAGTCATAAAAGGGCCAAGTTTGAAGACCCCTGTACTACGGCTTTGTAAAGCGATACTAACACTTCATGTGATCTTGATTTTTACCTCTTCCTTTCTATTCTCTGACCACCTTCGCTGCCATTTTCTGATCCAGTTCCAATTGGATGCTTAAAGGGAACGGGACAAAATACTAGAGATGGAATCCGAAACAGCAAGTAATTTGCACAATTTATGAATTAACACATTTGTTAAGTCAACCTAACATTTCCCCTTGCCTTTTGAGCAGTCAGATCACTCTGCTGGCTCAAATTTAGTTTGCAATCATCTACTATTGGCAAAAAAACGAAACAAAACAAAAATGTAATTATCTGGTCTAAATAGTCAAAGATTTCCAAAGCACGAGACTTCTCTTCGCCCAAAGAAATACTGTGGAAAATTTCAAACTATTAACCTTTAAAAAAAAAAAAAGTTTTGGAACTTTGAAGGAAAATCATTAACCTATAATTCTCGAAAGAGTTTGCCAGCCTAAAATGCCGAATCTCATTTCTGTTCAGCCGTCTATGAATACCACAGTTCTCTTCTGCATTGCCCTCCGTCTACTCAGTTCGCCCGATCCTCCCTACTACACCTGTTTTAAGCACTAGCAGCTGCTTAACCACATTATGACACAGCCCGTGGTTAAGTCATAGAAGCAGTGGCCAAACCTAGCAGATTTCAAAAGCAGCCAATCAATAGGAAATTTAAAAAAATAAAAAATAAAATAAAAATTGTGACCTATAAAAGGCTGCTTCGTTGAGGTCTGATCTTTGGATAGAATGGAAGCTGATTTTGTAAAAGGAGCGTGGAGCCTCCAAAAAGAGATCTGCCAGCCTCCGTCTTATCGCTGCCTCCCAAGGTCAGTACAGCAGGTGTTTTGAAAATGGACCGAAATCACATTATGAAGAAAAGGCCTTGTCAGGCCTTATCTGAACAGCAGGATGGAAATCAATACAGCATGGGCTTAAAATCCGTAACAAAAAGCGAGCAAGCGAACTTTAGATTCGTGCACCTGTGGAATGAAAGATGCAACGGCCTTGTTTGGGGTGGAGGACGTCACGAAGAATTCGAAGGAATTCAACTGTTCACCAAAGTTGGCAAAGCAGAAGAAAGGCAGGCTTGTCATGTAAGAGACTCCATAGACCGGGGGTCTTCAAACTCGGCCTTTTTATGACTCGTGGACTTCAACTCCCAGAATGCTCAGCCAGCATGCCTGGTTGAGGAATTCTGGAGTTGAAGTCCACAGATCTTAAAGGCCTTGGTCAGGGGCTTCAAACTCGGCCCTTTTATGACTTGTGGACTTCAACTCCCAGAATTCTTCAGCTAGCTAGTCCACAGATCTTAAAGGCCTTAGTCAGGGGCTTCAAACTTGGCCCTTTTATGACTCGTGGACTTCAACTCCCAGAATGCCTCAGCCAGCATACCTGGCTGAAGAATTCTGGGAGTTGAAGTCCACAGATATTAAAGGCCTTGATCAGGGGCTTCAAACTCAGCCCTTTTATGACTCGTGGACTTCAACTCCCAGAATGCCTCAGCCAGCATACCTGGCTGAAGAATTCTGGGAGTTGAAGTCCACAGATATTAAAGGCCTTGATCAGGGGCTTCAAACTCAGCCCTTTTATGACTCGTGGACTTTAACTCCCAGAATGCCTCAGCCAGCATGCCTGGCTGAGGAATTCTGGGAGTTGAAGTCCACAGATCTTAAAGGCCTTGGTCAGGGGCTTCAAACTTGGCCCTTTTATGACTTGTGGACTTCAACTCCCAGAATTCCTCAGCCAGCGTGCTTGCCTGAGCACCTGAAGGCAGGACAAGAAGCAAGGGATGGAAACTAATCAGGAAGTCTGGCTGAGGAATTCTGGGAGTTGAAGTCCCTGAGTCATAAAAGGGCTGAGTTTGAAGACCCCTGCCAGGGACTCTCCTTTCCATGTTTCCCCCAAGAACCATTTTGACACAGCCAACAATCAGCTTTTTCACCCGGGAAACTGGACCAAGCGTAACCGCTCTGTTTTTCGGGGATCTCACCAGTCAGCATGGCAACTTCCGAGATGATCTGTTCTCAGTTCTCCCTCATCCAGTTTTCCCATTCTTCCTGAGCGCGGAATGGGACCACTCGCCACAGCCAACTCGCCACAATTTAATTTCAATTTAATTATTTAAAATAAATTTACAAAAAGTACTTTAATGTTTTGCCATTCCCATTTCATTCCGTCCCTCCTTTTGCATCCTTTCTTTAATTATTCTATTCCACCATTTCTATGATATTAGTGTCAACTCTTGTCCCACGGCGAGTTGTCCCGTAGACCAGTGGTTCTCAATCTGTGGGTCGGGACCCCATTTGGGGTCGAACGACCATTTCACGGGGGTCGCCAAACAGCGCAGTCCGCCATTTTTTCCCCCCTTTTCCTTAGCTGTGCTGCTCCCTTTTATTCTATTGGCTTATGAAAGCCAATAGAATAGACTCTCTTGAATAGAGTCTAATTCTATTGGCTTTCCAAAGCCAATAGGAATTGTCCAGGCTGTCTCTGCCCTGCTGAGCCCGCCAAAAGTCCCATTCTGCAAACGGTGCTGCACCAGTTGAGTAGTCCTCGACTTACGACCGGTTGAGTAGTCCTCGACTTACGACCGGTTGGAGGTCGCGGCATTAAAAAGGTTGAGAACCACTGCCATAGACAGTTAGCCGTGAAGACTTGTCCCGTGGCAAGTTGTCCCGTGGCGAGTTGGCTGTGACCAACTGAGTCTGAGTCTGTGAAGATTCCCCAACCACAGGCCACAGGTCTTTTTGAACGAATCTATCCATGGAAACCTAGAACTAAGGAGGAATTTCCTGACCATTGGAACAATTAACCAGTGGAACAACCGGCCTCCAAAAGCTGTGAATGCTCCAACAGTGGAAGTTTTTAAGGAGAAACTGGACAGCCATTGGTCTGAAATGGTATAGGGTTCCCTGCCTGAGCAGGGGGTTAGACTAGAAGACCACCAAGGTCCCTTCCAACTTTGTTATTCTATTCTATTCTATTCTATTCTATTCTATTCTATTCTATTCTATTCTAATTCCTATTCTACTCTACTCTACTCTACTCTATTCACCTCCAAGGTCCCTTCCAACTTTATTATTATTATTATTATCGATCATCGCACAGTCAGCCAGATGTTCAGACTGGATTTGGCATTTTGTCTACCTATCGAGTCCTTACCCAGGACCTGGGATAGGCAGATGTGGATGTTTAATGGTATTACAGATATCGTCGCAGGATGGAAGCAGTTCCTAATAAGGCCGCCTTTTGCAATTGACTAATAGTGAATTTGTCAATGCCAATGGTGTTCAAGTGGTGCTCCAGTTGTTTTGGGATTGCACCCAAGGAGCCTATTACTATTGGTACTACCCTTGCTTGCTTTTGCCACAGTCTTTCTATTTCTATTTGTAGGTCTTTGTATTTTGTTATCTTCTCCAGTTCTTTCTCTCTATTCTGCTGTCTCCAGGCACTGCCACGTCCACTATCCAGACTTTTTTGTCTTTCTTATCGACAATTGTTAAGTCTGGGGTGTTATGTTGCAGGTGCTTGTCTGTTTGAATTCTGAAGTCCCAGAGCAGTTTAATTTTATCATTTTCTATGACTTTCTCTATTTTATGATCCCACCAGTTTTTGCTTACAGGCAAATGATATTTTTTGCAGATCTTCCAATGCACCATTGTTGCTACTTTGTCATGCCGCTGCTTGTAATCAGTTTGTGCAATCTTCTTGCAACAGCTTACCAAGTGGTCCACTGTTTCTTCAGCTTCTTTGCATAGGCGGCACTTACTGTCTGTTGCTGTCTTCTCAATTTTGACTTTGTATGCATTTGTCCTTAAGGCTTGGTCTTGTGCAGCCAGAAGTAGTCCCTGTATTATTATTATTATTATCATCATCGCACAGTCAGCCAGATGTTCAGACTGGATTTGGCATTTTGTCTACCTATCGAGTCCTTACCCAGGACCTGGGATAGGCAGATGTGGATGTTTGATGGTATTACAGATATCGTCGCAGGATGGAAGCAGTTCCTAATAAGGCCGCCTTTTGCAATTGACTAATAGCGAATTTGTCAATGCCAATGGTGTTCAAGTGGTGCTCCAGTTGTTTTGGGATTGCACCCAAGGAGCCTATGACTATTGGTACTACCCTTGCTTGCTTTTGCCACAGTCTTTCTATTTCTATTTGTAGGTCTTTGTATTTTGTTATCTTCTCCAGTTCTTTCTCTTCTATTCTGCTATCTCCAGGCACTGCCACGTCCACTATCCAGACTTT